ATTCTATATTTGCACGATTTTAAAAACCTCACATTTATGCAACGTTTTTTGAGAGTTTTGTTTCTCAAAACATCTTTAAATCGGTGTTATTTATGTCAATTGTCTTAACTGCTTATTTGGCTTGAGCTGCTTAAGTGGCGTCCATTTACTGATAGTTGAGCTTTCACACAGATTGTGCTAGTTTAAACTAATGATGACCGTTGGATGAAATCAATGGCTAAGATCCATTCTTGAGATAATATCGTATGTTCAGTGTACTGTAGCCAATTCACTTTTCATTGTTTCTGGACTCTTCGTTTTCTCTCTATCTTTGGCTCCTTCGTGTTAAGTCTGTAATTTCTTCATCTTGTGAGGTTCTGTGTAATTGATCTAAATGTTAGGGGTGAATGTTTGGTGTTAATTAGGCCTAAAAGAGTGGCTGATTTGTGTAGTGTTTTCTCCTAAGTGTTGGGTTAGATCTGTGTATGGTTTTCACTCTCGATTTGCGACATTTTATGATCGATGACGAAACTTTAGGATCTGAGTGGTTTGATGTAATCACTCTCTTGGACTTTGACTACTAGTCGTTTCAGCAATTAATTTTTTTGGTCTAAAATCACCATTATGAAAATACAATATTTAATTTAGCATTAGTTTTCAATATCAACACATTCTAATGCCACTTGAAGTTTAAAAAATTAACTAGGAATACCGAGAGTCCAAAGAAATTGGATTTATTTCGCTCCCATTTTTTATTCACTTCAATAATATACATTTAATCAGATAATTTATCAATGAATAAGTTTTTAACAGATATTATTTCTACTTATAAAATTAAATATATAGCAAGTTACTTATTATGGTAATTTCATTGTCAAAATAAGAAGCTTTTTTAATTTCATTGTCAAAATAAGAAGCTTTTTTACTTATAAGTATAATAAATAATAAATGAAACGTTCGGAGAAACAAAATTTTAATTACTTTTAAGTTTTCCGCGGTTTTTTTTTTTTTTTTGTGGTCCTTCAACATATTTCATGTATGATTAATTTCACTAGATAGTTTTCTTGCTCATAAGTCTACTAACATGTATATGCTTTCTGATGTAGAGATGTTAAAACATCAATTAATCTAATGCTAGATAGGTTCTTTGGATTTTATTTCTTTGGACTACTACATCAAATTTGTGAAAATTACATACAACCAGAGTTTAAAACTTCTCAATTCAAAATTAAGATTTACAAGTTTCTTTTTCAAAAATTGGATAACTGAAATTTTAAATATTAATTATAATACTATAAAATTAAACTTATCTACCCCAATCCCAATCCAATTTCTTCTCAAACCCTAAAATTCATTTCTACTCTCTTCTACCTCTCTCCATCTCTTCTCAATATATCCTGGAAAACAGATCCAGTGTAGCCCGCAAAAAAAATCTGCAAGCTCTTAGTGGGCACCTGGGGATTAACTTGGATAGTGTCCATTAATTTCTCCAATTATCTAGCTGGAGGACACTCAGGCTACTTAAGCCATTAGTATCCTTGAAATATCCAACTTAATCTAGTTAGGCAATTTTCTAGTTTTAATTTAGTTGGATTTCTAGTCTCAGCCTTCAAATAAATTGATGGTTAATCAATTTTGATACTTCAAAAATTAACTCGTACACTTGTAGAATTACAACACAATAGTAAACTCGAGGTATCTCTTACTGAGCAACACGATGGTGCGCCGCCCTCTGTGGTGTTGCCGTTTTTTTTGGTTTTTTTGTTATTAGATCTAGTTAGTTTGAGTTTTTCTTTTAGGTGGTTGGTGCTCTACAAACAGTAGTCGTGGTTGTGTCAATAGCGATGGTGACGACATTTGTGGTTGCACAAGCGATGATATTCGACGGTGGTGGTAGCGGCGTTGGCAGCGATGCAACGGAGACAATTGTGAGATGGTGGTTACAAATTATTTGGTTGATTATAACTAATAAATTGGTTAATGTGTAATCAATAAATAATATGTAACCATTGAAATAGATAATTTATAACAATAAATATTTTGTAACCTAAAAATGTGTTAAATTGTGATCAATAATTTGATAATTTGTAACTCATTAATTTAATATTGTGTGACCATTAAATAAGTTGTGATCTATAAATTTTTTATTTGTAACCAAAGAATAATATATGACCTATTTATTTGATAAATTTGTGATCAAGAAATAAGTTATGACACATAAAATTTGTGATCAAATTGTATAAAATTGTGACCTTAATATATTTAATTAATAAAATATATATTTAATTAATTATTTTATAAAGAAATTTTAATTAATGTCTAATTTTTTGAAGTTTTAAACCATGTTTTTTAATCTTGAAATGGGTTATACTATACTATTTGAGATATGATATTTTCCAATAAAATTTTATAGGCAACTTACAAAACCCTTAAATTTTGAGTTCTTTTGAAAAATCATATAAAATGTATTTTTGAAGTAAAAAATACTGTGTAAAATTATAAAAAAGAGACACAATCTTACTTTTTAAAGTTAAGTGTCACTTTTTTACATATAATATCACTTTTATTAAACAGTAATATATTTCACTAAAAGAAGCTGTAGAATTTTAAGAATGTGACATAAAGTAAAAATAAAAAATAAAAAAATAGTGGCAAACACTAAAAAAAAAAGTGAAAAAAATTCAAAAATAATAACAAACATTAGAAAAATGACAGAAGTCTAAATAATGTGACAAAAACTCTAAAAAAAGTGACAACAATTTAAAAAGGTGACAAAACACCAATTAAAATATTGAAATCAGTTCAATAAAGTAACTAAACTTTTCATTTAAGTCAATTAAACCAACATT